GCTCTGAAATCTCTCCTTTTGTATTCTTTCCCTCCTCTGATGACTCCTCATCTCTGGGCATTGTTGATTGGTTTCCTTGTGGTCATCATGCTGTCCTGTCAGCATATTCCTTTGTTCCAACAAACTCATCACATGCACACATCTTAATTTGGTTATTTCCTGGTCTTCTAATTTGCTCTGTTCACCAAAACCAGAAATTCCAGGGACTCTGCAGTTGGGCACTATGACCTGGTGCCAGTGCTGGAGAGTCCATTATCTCTGTTTGGGTACACCGTTCATATTATGTAGCTTCAGGTAACAGTTTGATACATGTCTTCAATTTCCCAGCCTGTGTGACTGATGGCTTCAGACACAGTGGGCCTTGAAGGAAACTTTAGCACAAACAAGCTTTTATAAATCAAGCAAGTTTTTATAATTTACCCTTGCCACTCCCCTAGACCAAAGTTCTAATGCAATATGTACTTTAGCTACAAGTCAATTCCTAAAAGCAAACTTCTAAATATCATTTTCTAGACATCGTCCACCACTGGAGAATGCAGCCCTACTGCGAGTCAGCTGATTGGTGAGATAGGGAGGCATTCTCTTGGGACAGGAACACTCTTTGGCTGTCTGTGGCAGCCATTGCTTTTTAGCAGCTGTTAACTGCCCCTTGACAGTCTACCCTCTTTTCAGGCAGGGGAGAGGGCAGGCTATCAATTAATGGGCTCCTTTCTAAGGGTGGGGGTGGCCCAGGAGGGAGCCCTCTAGTACCCCCAGGCTGGAAAGCTTGACTGGAAAGTTCTTCAGCTTTGGAGTTAGAGGAACATCTGTACAGTTCAGCTCGCAGGCTATTTTTCTACTGGAAGAAATTTATTTTGGTAGAAATACACATCTGCAAGCTGCCAGTGGCAGAAAAGTGGCCTTGCATTCAGTCACTCACTAAACCCTGATTAGAAGGGTAATGTGTATATGTGCCAATCCGGGGACATTTTTGTTCAAACACAGGCACATCTTGTCCAGGACAAATGTAATGCCTGTTCCTAGCCTAGTAGGTTTAGTGTGCTATATAAAGAAGCATGGCAAAGAAAGAAGGGACATTTTTAAAGGGAAAGGCTATGTGGAGGTTTGGCAAAGCTTGTTGGGTAATTTTGAATATGTAGTTTTTTATAAAAATTGGGGATAACTTTTTGTAAAACATGTTCCCAGTTTGGGTGAAAGAAAAGGGGCATGGAAAGAGGACACATCTACTTCAGAAGAGAGGCTTGTTGCACGTTATATCCTGTCTGAACCTGAAGGTTCTGATACTGACTGTACATTCAGGTTCTGTCCTTTTCTGGGAGAAATAGAGTAATAGGCTCATATTACCTATAAAGCATGCAAGATAAGTGTATAACTAAGAGTGTTTCTCTCAGCTGAGGTGGCACTAACAAATGCATCACTGATTGCCTAGCGTTTAAAGAAGTAACATAATGTAGATATTATTTGTTTGTGTGTAGCTGCACTAGCTGCACATAGGCACAAAAGATGCAATCAGTTTTATTATTCATTGATTCCGAAGCATAAAAGCAGCAGAATCTTAATAAAGTGTCTGGGGAGAGATGAGCTTATCGCACCACAGTCAATTACTTTTAAAGTTATCAGCTAAGGACACTCCTGGGGTCAGTGTATCCATTTAATTTCTTTGACTGCAAAGATAAAAATGAGTTATATGGGTTTTTCTGATATATATGTACAACTAGGGCCAGGGTCCTTAATACATTCAGTACCATATTAAACAGCAGTAGTACAAAACAAAAATTTGCTGAGATTTATGTACTTAGTTTAGTGACAAGAAAATAAGAAACTTCACTGTATATCCAAGCTGTTGGCCTAATCCCATTGCAAGCTTTTTCCATTCACTGTAGTGTACCTGGAAATGGGCTGTTGGTAGGGATGATGATAATGTAAGCTGTCCCTCTGAGCATTAAAATATAGTATGCATGGAAGGAATCTACCCTCTAGTGGACAAAAAAGGAATCTCTTCCACTTTAGGATTTATGCCATTATGTGCATCTGTTTTAATCAAAGGGAGGTGAATACTGATTTCCCAAAAAATCAGTTGCTTAATTTTTCAAAACAGAACATTTCCTCCAAGGTAAAAATATTAATTACATAACTCTTAAACTATGTTCAAAATGCCTATGATGAGACTAAATTTATGCACATTTAAAAAAAATCTGCTAGATGATTGAAGTTTCTCTGGTTTATATATTGGGAAAGATCTCACTGTATACAATTTATAGTTTATCAGAAATTAACTAAACAGAGAATAATTCGCAAAATGGCAGTGGTTAAAGCTGACAAGGTTCTTTGGGTAAATCTGATATCTTTTATTAGATCAACTAAATAGGTTCATGGTTAAAGCTGCACTCTTAAAGGGGAGGATATATAAAGGGGAGGATATATAAATTGTAAATAAGGACTAGCATGACATTTGAGAGCATTGGCTAGATACATTTGACTATATCATATATTTAGGGGATCCTTAATTGAGGGCAAATTTGCAGTGAAAGAATTCTGAATTGAACCTGCAGGGAGGTTCATTAAATATTGGGAGTGTTGAGAATATGGTTATCAACTCCTTCATGACTTATTTGTGAGCCACTACATGTTACACGTGGAACTAAGGAGCTATAAGTGTACAAGCTACTAGGGCTGTGCAAAGCTTCGGTCCCTGATTCGATTCAGCTGAGATTCAGCCCGATTGAGTGGCCGAATCTCCGAATCCAAACTGAATCAAGAGACTCTTAAATCTCTCCGAATTGAATCGGAACCCTCCAAATCCATTCGGAGAGATTTGGAAAGATTCGATGATTCAGACATAGACACAGCTTTAAATGTTTTTTCTACATACCTCAAGGTACCAGGTGGCTCGTGAATGCTGAAATGGTGGGGTAGACGGAGCGTCCCACAGGAGCATGGGGAGCTCCCCAATGAGCTTGGCAGGACACCCGGAAGTAGGCATGAAGCACTTCCGGTCCACTTCTGGGTCTGTTGGGGAGTGCATTGGGGTGTCTCCCCCCCCCCCCCCCGGCTCGGTGACCAGTGCCTCTTGGCTCTGGGGTGGCACCTGGGGTCCCCTTGTGGCTGATTGCTGAGCCAGGAGGGTGCATGGGGGCCCCTCATGCGCTCAACCATGGACCTGGAAGTGGACTGGAAGTACTTCTGGTCTACTTTTGCGTTCACTGCCGAGCACATGGGGGGGCCCCCTGCTCTCCTGTGGGATGCTCCATCTGCCCCAGCACTGCAGTTTTCGTGAGCTATACTGGGCACCTTGAGGTATGTAGAAAAAACATTTAAAGCTGTGTCTATGGCCGAATTACTGATTCTCTGAATTAGCATTGAATCTTCAGATTCGGATTCAGCCAAATTAAATTGGGGACAGTGATCTGAATCAACAATTACTGTCCCCGATTCAGGCTGCATCCGAATCGAATACGGCCTGTCTCACCCCTCCCCCCCCACAAGCTACCTTCATCACTGATCTGTTTATGGGGACAAAAACTGCCTTTATGATGTTTCTGCTCTCCCTCCCATGTAGATGAACAAGGAAGGACAAAGACAGAATGAAGACATGGGCCAGTACAGCTAAGGATCAGACTGTTGCTAATAATTTCCTCCCTGCAACAAGGTCTCAACTTTGGAGAAGCACAGCTGCTCCCTATCTCTTGTCCAGGGCTTGTGGGAGAGCCACAATCAAGCCTTTACCATTAATATTAGCAGCCTTTCATGAAGTATAGGTTGTGATTAATTGCATGTGATAGAAAGCTTGTCTATTCAATGTCTTGACTTAATTTGGAGAAAAGAATTTAAATGGTACACGAGGCACACAGTGTTACAGAAAATGAATTCTTTATCTCTTTCAAGGAGATGAAAAAATCTTCTGTTTAATCTAGTCTACAACATTAAAAAAATACCATAGATATATAGATAGATAAAATTTCTTACTATAAAACAGAATTTTCTTTAAGGCATTCCACACTTTGGCTGTAAAAATAGTAAGGGAATAGGTTGGGTAGTTGGTCATGAAGAATTGTGAAACTCGGAGTATAATGTCTTTACACACAAATCAGAATAAGAATAGTGTATGTAGATGCAAAGGAAAATATACTGTAGTGGTAAAGGAGGAAACAGTGTCAATGTTATATAATCAGAGCCTTATTCATCATAAACTAGCTATAGATCTGTAAAAGTTATGTCTCCTACAATACTATAACACTTTTCTTACTACTTATTAATACGAAAATATACTTCTTTGATCAGATGTACTACATTAAAAAGGTATTTCAAGTACTAAGATAATTACACGATACACTGGAGTGCTAGACCATAAAGAAAGCATCATGTTCAAGTGGACTCAGTAACTTCTGATTTCTCATTCTGTTGTGCAATTGATTCACTAAATGGCCATTAGTAAGATGCCTAACCACCTAACCTTTCCATGCTTCTACTTCTCCATCTGTATAATCAGACTATAATGCTTTGCCTACCTCCTGGGAGTACTATGAAAACTGAGTATATTAATGTTTGGACAGAGTTAATTGTATGATAAAATGTTATACTGGTTAGGTTTACAAGATTATCATCACTCTAAGCCAGTTAAATTCTCATAATGCAAAGTTAATCATGAGAAGTGGTAGACACGTAGTTGTTATGTTGTTTCACTGCTACAGTTGGAAAACACCTTCTTCAGATTTGTTATAATCCGTGATAATTTTGGTCATTTGTTTTTATGATCATGGAAATGTTGTAATTCACCCTTTTCAAAATGTCTGAGGGAATATTTCTTGTATGGTGTCAGATGCTCTATACTTGTTTCTCATTTTTAGCTGTGTAGCAGATGTTCTGATGCATTAAAGTATATGTGTCTACACAGCATCTTTCAGTTAGTGACCATCTACCCAGAATTCAAGATGATCACATTTTATCTTTTCCTGGAAAGCATTTCATAGCTTGTTTTATTTCCTATCCATGTGCTTTAGGTTACCATGGCCTCTACTGCGAAGAGGAATATAATGAATGCCTTTCTGCACCCTGCCAGAATGGTGCCACCTGCAGAGATCTTGTCAATAGCTATGAATGTGCATGTCTTGCTGAATATGAAGGTAAAATCCTTTTTTTGCCTCTCGTAATGTAAGTATTGCCTACTCCATATATTTTATAAGCAATGTTCTGTAATGAATAGGGATACATGGCCAAATTAAGTTTTAATATCTCCCTATATACAGCAGGAAAATAAATTTTAAGTAGACCCTGACCCCAACACTCAGGTGAGTAATTCTTATTTACATCAGTAGACACACTAGAGTCAATAGGATTACTCATTTGGACAAAATTTACCTATGTAAGTGTTTCTGATTTGAGGTCAGAAATGTTGAGAGATATTAGGTCAGGGGTGTCAAACATACTGCCTGCAGGCTAGATCCAGCCTGTGGAGCTATTTGATTCAGCCTATGAGTCGGTGGACACCCCATATGCGTATAGGCGCCAACTTAGAAGTTTGCTGGTGGGTGCTTGCAGACATAAAACTACCCCTGGTGTTTTATTTTAAATTTGGTGCATTCTTGCATCAAGCCCCATGCAGGCCCAGAAAAAAAGCATGTTACTTCAATCCAGCTCTGGTGTCTGTAAAGATCAGGTGCTTTAGTGGGACTTTTTTGGCACTTTCATCTAATAGCTGATTGAATTAGCTTTAGCTAAAAGCACCAAAAAGTCCCGCTGAAGTGCCCGATCTTTAAAGATGCTGCAGAGTTGTTCCATGCTGCTTCTTTCGGTAAAGCTCGGAGGGGGTGTGTTTTTGAGGGGGGGTTTAGCATCTGCAAGCACCAAAATGGCCATAGCTCATGAGTGTTGAGCACCCAGTAATTTTTTTTGGTGGATGCTTGAACCATGGAGCACCCACGGAGTCTCACCTATGCATGCAACAGACCCTGGCCTGTGCACTGCATGTGGGCTGAACTCAGGCATCACAGGGGGTTGGTCCAGACTTGTGTAACATATAACCTGTGCCCTGGACTCTGTACCATGTGCAGTGACAGGTTCAGCCCACGTGCTGTCCACAATGTGCATCCATGCTGGCCCTGGGGGCCATTTGCACAGTGAGTCAAAGGTCCAGCACATGCTGCACACAGCACAGGGGATTAGCATGGGGCACACGCTCCATGCAGTGCCATCTTTACCCCAGAGTGAGAGCAGAGGGTCAGTCAGTGGGGCGTCCCATGAAGCATATAACCTTGCCAGCCCCATGCTTCATGCAGCATGTATGGCTGGTCCAGCTCCACATGCTGCATGCAATATGCACTGGGCACAGGGCTCACTATGCACACAGCCCCCATGGCTGGCACAGGGCACATGCTTCCTGCAGCACATGGGCTAGACCCAGCGCTGCAGATGGCACAGAGGGCCCAGGGTGCAGGCTGCATGTGGTGCCCTGGACCGACCCCTTGTGCTACCTGCAGCACTGGGTCCAGCCTGTGCATTGTGGTTGAATACATGATGCCTGCTGGCCATGGGGGCTGATGCATGCTGCATGTGGCCCAGACCCAGTGCTGCAGTTGCTTCAGAGTGGTCAGGCCTGGTCTGGCCAGCAGACCAGCTCAGGAATGCTCATCCAGCCTGTGGGGTCTTATGAGTTTGAACCCCTATACTAGATTTTTCTTTAAAGAGATGATACTAAAGCGGTTTTTGGATATAATTTGAATCAGTTTAGTTACTTGGAGTGATGGAGGACATTGGAGAACTTTACAGAACCTTGTTGATTTTTTTCCAGTGTAATGAGTTAAAAGCAGAATTACAAAAGATCACATTGGAACACATTAACAATATTTGTCAATGTGGAAATAATAAATAAGAAAGCAGTTTTCTGGACATTTAATTGCAACTTGTATAATTCAGAAATAATAACTCAGTGAATGCCCTTCCGTGTTGACTGGGACTGACACCATACACACGTCAACAAATTTTGATTTCATATAACATTTCCTAGTCATTTTATAAAATAAAGGAAGAAAACTGTAAGTTAAAATGTTGTCCATCCAGAATATTTCATCCCAGGGTAGATTTATTTCATTTCGCTAGGAAGAGTAAAACATTAGGGTTTCTATCAACATGCATTTTCTCACTCTTTTGTGTGTACCATTGTGGGTCTCTGAAATATGTCCCAGCCCTTTTTTTCATCTATCTTGCTGTGATTTTGATTTTCATCCATGACCACGGCTTCCTTCTGGAATTGGAGTTGAGTATCAAATGGATGGTGAGCTTTCCAAGCTGTGGTGCCTTCATAGCAAAGCAAAAGTTACCAAGAGTGACATCACCAACCTTCAGTACACTGATGACTGTTATCCTTGCACACACACAGACTGATTTGCAGGCTACCTTTGATCTTTTCTCAGTGTCTGTCACAGCCTTAAACTCTCCCTTAACAGTGGGAAGAACAAGGTTCTCCATCAGCCTGCCCCAGCGCAAGCTTCCCTCCTCCCACCACCAATTACCATTGGTGGAGTATCCCTGGAAAAAGTTGAGCAATTCCCATACCTTGGCAGTCACCTCTCCCAGTCAGTAAATCCCAGTAAGAGCCAGTAAGTCTTGATGTAGAAATCAAACATAGGATTCACTGGTCCAGCATATCCTTTGGAAACCTACTTCACCATGTTTTTGCTGACCAAGATCCAGAGATGGAAATTAAGATTCTGGTCTACAATGCAATGGCTATCCCCATGATCCTTTATGATCCTTTATGGGTGTGAGACATGGGTGACATATGAAAGCCATCTTAAATGCTGGTTCCATCAGCATTGCCTCAGGAAGATCCTTCGCATTAGATGGGAAGACCATTGCACCAATGCCAGCATCCATTCTGCAGCTAACATAACCAGCATTGAGGCAAAGATCATGAAACATCAACTCCGCTGGTCTGGTCACTGTGTGCAGATGGCCGATACTTGTCTCCTAAAGCAAGTCTTCTTTTCTCAATTTAGTCATGGTGAGAGGACCTGTGGAGGACAGAGGAAGCACTACAAGGATACCCTGAAGGCATACCTTTAGAAGGGTGGCAACAACCCTACAAATTGGGAAGTGCTGGCTGGTAACAGGTCTCAATGGCACTGTGCCATACATCAAGCAACAGCCCACTTCAGAGAAAACTGTCTTGCAGAGAAATGACAGAGGAGGAAGGAAAGTGCACAGCATCCTGGCCAACCGTTGTGCCCATCCCCCCTCCCCGGCAGCATTTTCATATCTGTGGGAAAACTTGCAGAGCACAGTTGGACTCCTCAGCCACCTTAAAACTCACCAGTAATCCCCTCCAGCAGACATCATCCTTGTATCAAGGAATAGCCAATGTGATGTGTACCATATTCTCTATGGCTTTGTTTGTTTTAAAGGCTGAGATGCAGTTTTGTTTTCGCACTGCTTTTTGAGTCATACTGTGATAGAATTCTGAAATTAACTTATAAATAATTACACAGAGTGGTGGTATTTTAGGAACACATGAATCCTTATTTCTGTTGACTGAAACTCAGTTAGCTGCTGCTTGTGACTGAGTTTTTTTTTTCTCACTGGTGTGTGCTCTCTTTTCCATTGTGTCAAGAATTCATCATTCTAGAGGTTTAAAGTGGGGGACAGACCCGTAGCTTTTTACTGACAGCAGAAACAGTAGTGTTTTCTCATATTTTGGTTGAGATGTCATGTTGTTAACTCAACCTGAATATTTAACAAAAAGTAGTGTGTGTTTAACCCCTGAAATTCCAGGAAGTTAATTTTGCTTTAGCTATTTATATGGGACCCAGTCCTGTAAACACCCTTTACTAGACATTGTGTTTTCTACTGCAAGTTGATTCTGAGACTGGAATAGATCCTGGCTCTGTGTTGTCTTGTGTGTTAGCTATTCATCTAAACCAGAATGGCCTCCTTGGGCCAGATCTGGACCATTGCAGGATTCCTCATGACCCAGTTCCAGTCCCACCTCTGGTGGTGGGGCAAGTGGCGGTGGGGTTAACTCCAGTGCTGTGTTGGCTGAGGGAACCATAGGATTAATACCACATCTGCTCACCTTGCTGCTGAATTCCTGGCCCCTCCACAAGCTCCATTGGCCATATGTTTGACACACCTCATCTACACCATTTCATAGAGGGTATAAAACATTATTACTAGGGCTGTGTAAAACAGCACCATTCCATTTTGACTTGAGTTTTGAACTTTTGATGGAACAGTGTTTGATTTTGAATTTCATTTGGATTCAAAACTGCTGTTCCGTTTTGTTTCGTCAAAACAGTGATGCTGTTTCGATTGCTGTTTTGATGTTTTGCTCATACGCTATAATGGGGAAGCTTGAAACAGCCTCTCTCATCTGGCAGGCAGATGGTGGCCCGCAACCCTGTGGGGGCTGTGCCAGTCCTCCTGGGGCTTCGGCCCCCTGATCTGTCTGCCAGATGAGGGAGGGAAGCCAGGTGCTGCTGCCTGGGACCGGGGAGCTAGGGAAGGGAACTGAGCCCAATCGCTGAGCTGAATTCCCCTCCCCAGTGCTAGGATCAGGCTGAGGAAAGGAACTCAGCTCAGCTGGGCTGAGTTCCTTTCCCCAGCCCAATTGTAGCACTGCAGAGGGGAACTCAGCTCAGCTGGGCTGAGTTGCCTTCCCCAGCCTGATTGTAGGGCTAGGGAGGGGAACTGAGTGGTTGGGCTCAGTTC